GAAATGTTTAAAACTAGACAGAGTTGGTGGTAGCACAACATTGTGAATGTATTAAATACCACTAAATTGTTCATCTTAAACAATTTCGACTAATTTTATATTAGGTAAATTTTACCACAATAAATGACTTTAAAAAACACAGATTTCGGCTGGGCGCAGTGGCTCACGCCTACAATCCCAGCACTTTGGGAGGCCAAGATGACAGAACGGCCTGAGCTCAAGGGTTCAAGACCAGCCTGGGCACTTTTCAATAAATCAAGAAAAATTAGCCTGGCGTGGTGGCACATGCCAGTAGTTCTAGCTACTTGGAAGGCTGAGGTGGAAGGATTGCCTGAGCCCAGTAGGTTGAGACGGTGGTGGCCGTGAGCGTGCCACTGTCCTCTAGGGCAACAGAGTGAGACTCTGACTCAAAAAATAAAAAATAAAAATAGAGCTATAGTAAACTAGAAAAAATACATATCTGTCATATTTGATTAAAAACCAACTTTGTTTTAGCTAAACAATACATATTAAACTGCTCAAGGTCACAGAACAAGTAGCAAAGGCAGACTTAAGGTCTTTCTACTTTGCATTACTATCTTCGTAGAAAAGTAATTGAAGCAAGACATCAACTGGGATATAACAGACTAAACCTCGGTAAAAAGTTTGGCATCTAGGCTAAGAAAATGGCAGCAGAAAAGACAATAAAGAGATAAATATATTAAAAAAAATAAAAGTCTGATATAAAATCAAAATTAGAATAGGTTGGTCATGGTGGCTTACACCTGTAATCCCAGCACTTTGGGAGGCTGAGATGAGAGAACTTGCTTGAATCTAGGAGTTTGAGTCCAGCCTAGGCAATTTAGCAAGATCTTGTCTCTACAAAATATCAAAAAAAATTAGCCAGGCATGGTGGCACACACCTGTAGTCCCAGCTACTCAGGAGACTGAGACAGAAGGACCGCCTGAGCCCAGGAGGTGAAGGCTGTGGTGAGCCATGATCATGTCATTACACTCCAGCGTGGGTGACAGAGTGAGGACCTGACTCAAAAAAAAAAAAAAAGAAGAAGAAGAGGAAGAAGAAGAAGAAGAAAAAGAATAATTAAGGCTGAGTGAGTCATTGACAATAAAAGAATCAAAGATAAATTTCAAGGTTTTGAACCAAAGTACAAATATATAATAGTTTAGGGCGTATAAAATAGGACCATAACAAATACAATAAAATCTCAAACTCAAATTCATGATTGCTACAATATATGTAACACCCTATAACTATATTTTGCTCAATCTTATTTTACATATAGAAATGTTTTTCAAAATCACACCCTAATAATCATGGCTAAATGTTCTCAATAGATTTTAATTCCAAATTGATAACATTATTAATGTTCACTAATATACCAATGACAACGCAATAGTTAAACATAAAACTTTCTTCTGGGACTCACGACTAGAATAAAAGACTAAGTCTAATCAGTAGGATTTTTATATATCTAGTTACCATATCTATCAAGTTACCCTGTCTATAAGGCTGAAATAAATCCTGCCTCAAGAATCTAGCATAAGGCCTGAAGTCACTTCCCGTGCTCAATTTTAAGACCATCACATCAAGTATTTTCCCTGGGAACTCAAGTGTACTCCAATGTGATAATGTATGCTACCAGACCTCCCTATCCATTTATCTCAACCTTGAGACTAGGCTGTACTCTAACTGCAAAACTTATTCAGACTGGGCTCAAATTCTTCTTATTCCTTACCACTCTTTGCTTATCTGCTTGTTTTTAATAATAATATGAATTCATCACCGAAACAGGAAACTAGAACTTGACAATAAGGTCTATGTTTGTCTATGTACACACTCCTCCCCAAACCATCCATCTGTCCCTCTTCTCCAAGGTAAAGAGTTCTCATTAAAAAGGTATAATATGTTAGATCATATTATAAAGCAATATATTCATGGAATTGGCATCAAAAAGCAAAGTCTGCTAATGAAAGTGGCAATGAAATGCTTTTATAAAATAGTTCAGGCTGAGTGCAGTAGCTCATGCCTGTAATCCCAGTACTTTGAGAGGTAGAGGAGAGAAGACGGTCTCAGTCCAGGGGATTGAGACTAGCCTGGGCAACTTGGTGAGAGCTAGTCTCTACAAAAAATCAAAAAATTAGCTGGGTACAGTGGCCCACACCTGTAGTTCCGGCTACTTGGAAGGCTGAGGTCGAGGCTGCGATGGCCCATGAGTATGCCACTGTACTCCAGCCTAGGTGACAGAGTGAAACTCTAACTCAAAAAAAAAAAAAAAAGTTCAGTAAAAATGTATAAAAATCCATTTTAAATATGAATACTCTCTAACCTCATTACTATAGTAATCAACACTAAGAAAATAATCTAAAATATGGCTAACATACCGTGTAAGAAGATGTTTAATACATTGTTATCAGTAAAAGAGAAAAGCTGGAAATAACATAAATACTCAATAAGAAAACATGATTAAATAAACAATTCTAGCCGGGCTCGGTGGCTCAGCCTGTAATCCCGCGCCTTTGGGAGGCTGAGGTGAGTGGATTGCCTGAGCCCGTGGGTTCGAGACCCGCCTGGGCAGCGAGACCTCATCTCTACAATAAATAAAAAAAAATCAGCTGGGCGTGGTAGTGCATGCCTGTAATTCCAGCTCCATGGAAGGCTGAGGCGGAAGGATCGCCGGAGCCCAGCAGGTCTAGGCTGCGGTGGCCGGGAGCGGCCACTGCACTCCAGTCTGGGCGACAGAGTGAGACTCCAACTCAAAAAATAAATAAATAAATAAATAAACAATTCTACATTTTGCTAGGGTCTGTCCTTTCCTTATCTAGGCCAAAATAAGTTTTTAAATTTGAAAACTCTCGTAATTTTAAATATTTCTCAAATTCACAGAATCTAGATCTTTTTCTTTTTGTGATCTTTATCCTTAATATAAGTTAGAATGCTGTCTGTAGTTCCAGCTCCTTGGAAGGCTGAAGCGGAAAGATCGCCTGAGCCCAGCCCCTCAAGGCTGTGGTGGTCATGAGCGTGCCACTACAGCCTGGGTGAAAGAGTGAGACTGTGACAAAAAAAAATAAGGAGTGATAACCGGGATGGATATAAGCAAGTTATTTCATTGTGAGGTTTGAAGAATGTCAGATCTGTTTTATGTCCTTCACAGTCACACTAAAAGATTTTTTTAAACTGTCAAAACTTTGAAATTCTTTATAATTGCATTAATGGAAACAAATATTTTCTAGACCAGGCAACATAAATCTTTTCCTTTAAAGCACGAATTTGTCAATATTCAAATTAGAAGGTAGAAATTTTTTTCAAAGCAAAAATGCTACTGAAGAATAAATGTATATTATATGAATAAATGCATATTATATAAATAATAGAGATCATATTAATTAGTTTTATCATATAGTATATTTATGAATTAAAATAAGGAAAACCCATGAGCAAGTAAAATTTTAATAAATTTTCTATGTTAATAAAGTCAAAATAAATAATAAATAAATAAAATATAGTGATCTTTAAAGGAATATAAAGAGGTACAGTGACTCATTGTCAAAATTAAAACATTTATCATTTTTTATACCCATATGGTAAGAAACTTCTAATAGTAATTTAGGAAGCAAGTATATCATACTGGTGCTCCCAAATTATGAACACACTCAATAAAAATATAAAGAGCTAATATAGACCTGTGAATTAGTATGTATACTAAAAATATGACTACTATCATTTGGTAGTCTGAAATTACTTTTGATGCTAAAATAGAACGTTCATTTTCCCAGCTTAAATTATCAGCTATTTATAGACCTTTAAAAAGTGAATAATTTTTAGAAATGTGCATAGTAATCTCCTCTCATCTGCAGTTGCAGTTTCACTTTCTGTGGTTTCAGTTATCTGTGGTCAACTATGATCCAAAAATAGGTGAGTACAGTACAAGATATTGTGAGAAAGACCACAGTTACATAACTTTTATAAGAGTATATTGTCATAACTGTTCTATCTTATCATTGTTGTTAATCTCTTACTGTGCCTACCTTATAAGTTAAACTTTATCACAGATCTATATGTGTAGGAAAATACAGTACATATATAGGTTGGGTACTATCTGTAGTTTCAGACATCCACTGGGGGGCCTGGAATGTATCCCCTGTATAAAGAGGGAACTACTGTATTAACTCTTAACAACTTATTATTTGAATAACTTACACACATTTCTAAAGAGCACATTAAGATTCAAAGTAAAATATCAACTCTTAGAAAGTATAACATAGATTTTTTTTCATTAAGCAGCTCTATATTAAGAAAATATAAGAGATCTTATATGTTTTTTAAAAGGGAAGTGAAAATTATTCACTTTTTAAAGGTCTATAAATAGCTCATAATTTAATATCTATATGAAACTGAGCATGATATCTGAAATCAAAGTCATAGCATTATTGCACCACTGAGAAATAAAACATATAGCATTTTAAGATTAGATAGTATCTGGAACATACAGTCCAATGAGTTAGTTCAATGTAATTGGAAGATTATTAAATGATGCTGATTTCATTTTCTTTAGAACAATGAAAATCTCAACCTAAACATTATATCTTAAGCAAAAATTAAATCAAAATTGGCTGGAGTCCTAAATTAACATGTAAAATCATAAATCTTTCATAAGACAATGTAGGAAAATAAACAGGATCCGAAGTTAGTCAAAGAACTCTTAAACATGCCACCAAAAGCGCGTACATAAAAGACAAATTAATAAACTGCACTTCATCAAAATGAAAAATTGAAATTGAAGCCAATTTTATAAATGATAATGTAAAGAATGACCTTTGAGCACTATATTTAGAATTATACTGCAGCAATAAATATTTCAGACATATTATCTAGATTTCATAAATTTGTAAAGACATATGAAAATAGGAATTTTCTCTTTCACTCACCTGTAAGCATGCCACTAGCTTAGGAGTTATTTGTCATATTTTTCATTTAATCAAAGTTAATCATCAATACTTACCAGCAGCTTCAAGAACCAGCTGTAGTCTGGCTTTGGCCTGTTCAGCAGGTGGCTTAAAAAAACAAAACAAAACAAAACATAAAAGACATTTATAGGTTAGTTTTAATAGATGGAGCTTTAAGTTAATGCACTCTTATACAAGTATCAGAAAATTTACAGAGCTTTATCATAAGCAATATTAAAATTCATCCACATCTTATACATATCATGCAAGAATGATGAAATTCTTTCTTTTTTTCCCTGTAAAAAATTTTTGTTGCAACCTCTTTGGAAAAAGTGGGGTGGTTTCTGAAAGAACTAGAAATTGACCTTCCATATGACCCAGCAATTCCCCTATTGGGAATATACCTGAAGGAACTCAAATCATTCTACAAAAAAGATACCTGCACATGCCTATTTATTGCAGCACTACTCACAATAGCAAAAACACGGAACCAACTGTGCTACCCATCGGAACGGACCGGATAAAAAAAAAAAGTGGTACATATACACAATGGAACATTATGCAGCCATAAAGGAGGACAAACATATGGACTTTGCAGCAACTTAGATGGATTTAGAGTCTATCAGACTCAGTGATCTATCATAGAAACAGAAAACTGAGTACACATGTTCTCACTCATAAGCAGACCTTGAACAATTATCATAATATGATAAGAAAGGGATTGGCAGTAGTGGGAAACTGCCAGGGGAGGTGGTGGGGGTCACACCTCAACAACAACGATACCTGCATAAAGAACATTTGTATACCTAACCTTGAATTGTATCCCGCATCTTTAAAATAAAAAAAATTTTCAAGTTTTGTTTACCACCTAACATTGTACCAATTAGCAATTAACATAATTAACTGCAATTTAATATTAGGGCAAAACCCATATATGTAACAACATATTATCAAGATGTGCTATTTCTTTGCATATGGAAGCATGCAAGTCAGACCCTAAAACCAAATACAATCTGCTTTTGTAACAAGTAATTGAAACAAGTAATTGTGATGAAGATAGGACAAAAACCATCATTTTGGAATTTACAATTTATGTGACATATTAGAATGTTTTGCTAATTGGTTTTTTTAAAAAGGTCACCTTGAATGAAAAGAATTAAATAATTAGCTGTAGAAAGAAGATACTGTGATTAGAAAAGTTTAAGAATTTTAATGCTGTTTCTGAAAAGTCTGTAAAAAACCAGATGGTAGAGTGGTGGATGAGGTAAGTGAGGAGACAGGATAGCTTTTTCTATCATGGATTAACAAATGATAGCCTTGGACTAGTGGCCTGGTTTTGCACATAAGTTTTATTGGAACACAACCATGCCGTTTGTTTACATACTACGGTGCCTTTTGTGCTCAACTACAAGAAGAGTTGAGTATTTGTAACAGGAATCTTATGGCCAGCAAAGCCTAAAATATCTACTATCTGGACCTTTAAGAAAAAGTTTGTCAACCACCATCAAAGAAGATGAAGGACTTGAAGAATTTTAAACAAAGGGGAGACATAATCAGATCTGCACTTTGATACATCTTTCTAGCAGAATGTTTGAGGATGAATTGAAAAAAGTGTGACTAGGGGCAAGGAGCTCAGTTAGGTGGCAATTAGAGAATTCCAGGTGAGATGATGGGGGCCTGAGCTGAAGCAACAATAGAAAGGTAGAACAGGAGGAAACAGATTTAAGAAATATTTAATTGGAAAAATGAAAGGACTGACTGGATATGAGAGAAGGAGGAACTGACAAATAAAAAAAGAGTACTTCATGTCATATATTTATAGGGAAAATGTATGTAAACATGCTTTATAAAGTTACACAGTTTTGAAAATGTAACATCAAATTAAAGTATCACAGCAAAATAGCAACAGAAAACTATGATATCTATTGAACACAATCTAACAGTCATAAACTAAAATGCCTATTGGCACTAAGCAGTTAATATAAACATTTATGATGATAAATGATATTTGACATCAGTGTTAGGAAACAGAGTGTGGAGACCTGTGGAGCACATGTCCCGGCTAAAAGAACTGATTGTTACCATGCACAATGCAAGCCCAGGGTTATGAAATTCGCTAATTTTTCTCAAGAATTTAAGTCACCATGAAATCAATACAGAACTGTGTGGAACAAACATAGTACTTCTATGGGCAAGTTCAACCACAAGACAGACAGTTTGTGATTTCCACCATTTACTAACCACACAGTGGAAACCTGACGACACTTGCTGCAATATTACATAACAAGAATGGCAAGAAAGAAATCATATTCTGATTAGCAGATCTTAAGCAAGCTAAGAATTATGAAGCACACATGTCAAGATGTCCTTGTAAGCAGTGTCCTTCAATAGAAAAATCCTAAACACTTTCTTGGTTAAGATATTTCACGAAAATTATATTTTTTTATTTCATAAGAATAGATTTATTTAATATACATATACATAATAATGTGTACTGAACATCCAATAAAATACTAGCAGTACTGTTAAAGCCTTTTATATCCCATGAAATCTCCCTCCATAGCCACACCCTCCCCCCCTCAAATTCCTTATAACCACTATCTTCAAAATATAGTGATTGCTTGTATCCCACAAGGGAGCACAAAAAATAAAAAGAAAAAAGAAAAAAAAATTCAAAATATGGTGACTGCCATTTATAAGGAATGATTCTTGATGGCTGATGTTTACAAGAAAAATACTTAAGATATATTTTTCACTTATTAACTCCAACAATCTATAATGTAGCATTCATATTTCAAAGGTAAAGAAAACTAAGGAATAAGAGCAGCTTAGTGATTCACCTCTAATAGTAAATGGTGGACTAAAATTAAGACTCTCTGAATACAAATTTCAGGTTCTTTTTAACTAAATCACTAGGATACTTACGAAATCAAAGAAATTAATTTACATAAATATAAATTAATATAAGTCTTTGATTCTGTTTTTAAAAAACCTGTCCAAAACAACACACTTGCCTCAGTAAATGAAATATGATCCCATTCTAAATATATTTGCCCATGCAGATATAACTTGCTAAATTTGATTTATAAAATATAAGGATAAATGCCAACTATTGGAATAAATATATTGTTAGATTGATCAAACTTTTAGAAGTAATCTGTATTTTACATGTATTTTTACACTGCTTAGAATTATAGTTCAAGTCTTTTTCTTGGATAGGGTATGCACATGTGAATAATGTTATATTAGACCTGGAAATGACAATACAGAAATTCATATGGAAACATAAACGACCATGAATAGCTAAAACAATCCTTAGCAAAAGAAACAAAGCAGGAGGCATCACACTTCCAGACTTCAAACTTTACTATAGGGCTACAGTAATCAAAACAGTCTGGTATTGATACAAGCACAGGCATATAGACCAATGGGGCAGGATAGAGATTCCGGAAGCAAAGCCTCAATTTCTTAATCAACTCATCTTTGATAAAGCCTCCAACAACTACTGGCGAGAGGAGAACCTATTTAGTAAATGGTGCTGGGAAAACTGGCTGATCACAAGTAGAAGATTGAAACAGAACCCCTACCTATCACCATACACAAAAATTAACTCTAAATGGATGAAAGACCTAAACATAAAACCTCAAACTAAAAGAATCTTAGAAAACGCAGGAGACACCTTTATGGAAATTGGAACTGGCAGCCAATTCCTATTCAGAACCCTAAATGCCCATACCTTAAGAAATAAGATAGACAAGTGGGACTGCATCAAACTAATGAGTTTCTGCAAAGCAAAAGAAGCCATCAAGAGAGCAGGGAGAAAGTCCACAGAATGGAAAAAAATATTTGCCAACCGTATATCTGACAAAGGCTTATTAACATCTAGGATCTACAAGGAACTCAAATACACTGAAAGGAAAAAAAACAAACAGCCCCATTAAAAAGGGGCAAAAGACAAGCACAGACACTTCTCAGAAGAAACAGACACATGAAAAAGTGCTCAGTCTCAATAATGATCAGAGAAATGCAAATCAAAACCACAATGAGATATCACCTAACCCCAGTCAGAATGGCAGTCATTAATAAAACAAACAACAACAGATGATGGTGAGAATGTGGAGAGAAGAGTATATGTCTTCACTGCTGGTGGGAATGTAAACTAGTACAAGCTCTCTGGAAGACAGTGTGGCGATTTGTGAAAGAACTAGAAATTGACCTTCCATATGACCCAGCAATTCCCCTATTGAGAATATAACCAGAGGAACTCAAATCATTCTATAAAAAAGATACCTTCACATGTATGTTTGTTGCAGCTCTATTCACAATAGCAAAAACATGGAACCAACCATGCTGCCCATTGAAGCTGGACTGGATAAAAAAATGTGGTACATATACACAATGGAATATTATGCAGCCATAAAGAAGGACAAACATATGGACTTCACAGCAACTTGGGTGGATTTAGAGTCACTCATACCCACTGATCTATCACAGAAACAAAGAACAGAGTATATGTTTTCACTCATAAGTGGACCTTGAACAGTTATTATAATACTGTAAGAAAGCTACTTGGAAGGCTGAGGCAGAAGGATCTCTGGAGCCCAGCAGGTCGAGGTTGCGGTGGCCGGGAGCGGGTACTGCACTCCAGTCTGGGCGACAGAGTGAGACTCCAACTCAAAAAAAAAGGAAAGGTACTGGCAGTAGTGGGAAACTGTCCGTGGGGGGGAGGGGAGGGAGACTGGCAGTTGAGGGAAACTGCTAGGGGAAGGAGGGGCATACCTTATCAACAAGGGTACCTGCATAATCAACGTTTGTATACCTAGTCCTGAATTGTACCTCACATCTTCATAATATAAAAAAATAAAATAAAATAATAATTCATTACTTTTTATTGCCAGGTAGCATTCCATTGTAAGGATATACCATAATTTCTTTATGTATTAATCTGTCAACAAACATTCAAATTACAACCAGTTTTTACAACTATAAAAAATGCTATGAACATTCAGGTACAAATCTTTGTATAAATATGTGCTTCCACATTTCTTAGGTAAATGTCTAGAATAGAAATGGCTGGGTCAGATGGTAAATATATATTTACCTTTTTA